GCCGCCGCAGAGCCGAACTATGACACGGAAGCCGAGGGGAAACGTTCGGGGAAGACCGGCTCCGGGGGAGAAGCATCCACCTGGAGTCGTCGACACATCGCCGACAGATCGACGAGAGGCTCCTCACAGCAACTCCGCAGGGTTCTGAGCGGGGTGGGCTATCGGGCCTCCATCGGCGATCAATGTGCGGCTGGGGGCCGATCCCCCCTGAGTAGAAGAAGACAAAACCACATAAACATACACTTTTGGCGCTTCGCGCGAATTTCTTGGATCCGTGCCGGACCCCCCTCCCTGGCGCGCGGAGCGCGCCAAGGGCGGCGCCGGAATCGCCGCCAGGGGGGCCCAGCGCGGATCCAAGAAATCCGCGCGGAGCGCCAAAAGTCTATGTTTATGTGTTTTGTTCTTCTTCTTCGACTGGACTGTCCCCCCTGAAGTTGCCCCTGAATCGGAGATCCGGGATCAAAGATCGTCCCCACGCGGCACGCTGGGGGCGTTGCGGAGTGAGAACTCTTTTTGATCCGCGGGTCGAGAGCGCACCTCTTCCTGTCGAAGCTAAGCGGGCCGCGCACAGCTGTAATTAGCAAAAGGGGGGCAGAAGGAGTGGCCTCACGTCAAGGCCAGGAGGGGGCAAAGCCCCGGAACCAGGCGGTGCCGAAGACGATGTGCTTGCAAAGAAACGCCTTGAACAGGAACCCGGCGGCGAAGTACCAGAAGCCAGAGTGAGAAACACGCCCTCGTTATGCCCTGCGCACCCTGCACACCGCGGCCGCCAGGCTCCCCCATTTGGGCCCCGGTGCTCCCTGGGTTTCCCGCCTCGCGTCCTCGGCGAAAGGCATACGGCGGCTGCAGACCGCGGCCACCAGGCCCCAAAAGGGCCCACGTGCCGTCCCGCGCTCTCGGGCATGGCTCGAAGCAACTGCTGCTTGGCCCAACGTTCCCCGCGTTTCGGGCTTCCTGGGGGGCGGTGGTGGCTCGTCGCCGCGGCTGAGTTCCTCTCGAAATTCTGGCCGGAGTGCACACCAGGAGAGGTCTGGGGGTCGACTTTGAGAGACCGAGCCGAGCCGAGATCTGCTCGCGTCGTGAAAACCTCAGGGCGTGACGTTCTCGGCACTTCTCGGACATTGAGAGCCCTTACAGGTCCCAGGGGGCATCAAGAAACGAGGATGGAATGAACAAGAATTCGTCCAAACCTTCGTGGGGGTCCACGACACTTCCGTGACGTTCATTTTGAAGTTCTTTGCTCTGTGCAATTGTATGCGATGGCTTTCCTTAGCTTTTGACCATCCCAGTAGACGTGCGACCCCCTTCCCCCGTAGAATCCTACACTATGGGCTCTGGCGGAGGCGGAGTTGGTTCGGCCCACGTCCGGCTTAGGTACGCTGAACCCAGTGCAAAATCTTACGCAGCACTGTGCATTTGATACGGATGAACATACTCTTCCGCCGAGTGCGAACTCACCCTACCTGCCCTTGCTGCAGAAACAGCTCACCCCCCGTTCTCTGGTATTCACTCTGCGCCGTTTATCACAACGACGAGCGGTTTCTGCGCTTCGGGGCACTTCGCCTCGATGCAACATCGCCTGAGGATGGGCTCACGCCGCGCACCTCGATTAACATGCGCGCCGTGGCAAAATGGTCACTAAACATTAGTAACGAGTTAGCGCTCCATGCGTTTACATTGATTTCGCATTGACTTTGACTTGCGATGTGTTGTATGTGTTCGACGTTGCTTTCGCGCCGCTTGTGCATTGAATTGCATTGCGCTGTGGTGCATCGGCGACAACGGTGGCGACGGCAGCGGCCACGGCAAATGCGGCGACGGCGGCTACGGCGACGTGATCGATGACGCTGGCGACGACGACAACGATGTAGCAGTCATCTTGATGTGAATGACCGTGTAGCAAGTTACCCCGCACGTCTTCTCCACACGGACGAGCTTACTCCGCCGTCGGGGGAGACGTCACCCCGCCGGTTCTTGCTGCAGCAGCAACTTACTCCGCGTCCTCTGACATTCCCTCCGCGCCGTTCTGTCACGACGGCGAGTGCTTTCAGCGCTCCGGGACGCCTCGCCCCGACGCAACGACGCAACATCGCCTGACGATGGGCACCTCGATTCACATGCGCACCGCGTCAGAATGGTCACAAACATGAGTAACAGGTGTATTACCAGATCTGTCTGTATGCATGTAAGCAAAATTAGATTGTATATATATATATATATATATATATTTATATATATTATTCACAGAGACGCGCACACTACATACTCCTGCGTATGCATACATGCACGCATCATGTCAGTCCTAGGCGGTAGCGCTTTAACGCACTGGCGGATTTCGGTCGCACCGATGTCGCAGCTCGCTTCGGCGGAGACCGCGCATACAACGCACAGCAAACCATGTAGCAGCATGGCGATCCCAAAATGAAGAAATTCGTTGCGATGGTCACCAACGAGGCCCGCGCAAGAATCGGTAGCGATCTTTCGGTAGCGACCGAACTTCACAGAAAAGCATCACGACGAACGGTGGACAAACGTTTGAGCATCGTGTGCCACGAGTCTAGTGCGAGACCACTGTGTGTCAGACACACGTTTGGTAAACGGTTGTCTAATGTTTGTTTTCAGCACGGGCGCCCGCTTGTTACCGTAACGCGCAACCATAATGTGCGAACTCTCATGGCAATTCGGAAGGCGAACGAAAGCAACTCCTGTATCGGCCACTGATTTTACATTGGCTGTGCCCTTGCGTTGGCATACTACCTGAAATATCCGTCGCTACCCGATCGTAATCGCTCTCTTTGGATTCCAGTCGCTCCTCCGATGCGGACCCCGGTACCCTAAATCTGCGGTGGCGATTCCTCACGGCTCCCCAATGTGAGCTCGCAGTGACGGGCTGCCAGCGCATGTAAAAAGAATTGGCAATCCTGATTTCGTAATAAATGGGAGGGGGTCTGGACCCTCCAAGACAAGCCATTTCAGACCTCCCCCGTGGGAGAACCCTCCAACACATCGTCCCCAGACCCCCCGGGCCCTCCAAGACAGCCTGGAAGAGACCCCCCCGAAATGAGACCCCACTCCCTTTATTACGAAATCTGGAGTAATCATACCTGACCGATGTTGGTGGACGGCCAGGCTCCAAACTCTGGTGAAAAAATGCCTGGCCGCTTTCGGCGGACGGCCACATTCCGGGGTCTGGGATCCGTGCCTGGACATTCACCGTGCACTAGAAATAAGGGCACCCACCAGCAAGAAAAACCTGTGAGCCCTGCTCCTGCAGGCTTGGACTGGGAACCAACAGGCTGGGATTCTGAATCCGTGGGGCGTCTGCAGCCAAGTGAGCCCCAGCAGGTAGGTCCAAATTCCAGCGTCGATTGGAGCCGTAGGGGTAGTGTTCTTAGTGTTCTCAAAGTTGTCGCATAGAAGCACAGACTGGCAATGCTCCCCTTCTCAATCCGACCTCGCCTTCCTGCTGAGGGGAAACGATAAGGTGATTCTCCTGCTCAGGGGCAGAAGCGTCGACCTGGAATTGGCGATGCATCGCCGATCGATTGGCGATAGGCCCCCCGATAGCGACTCGGGGCATTCCTGGGCGGGGCGGGCGATCGGGCTCTATGGGCGATACACGGAAGATCGCGGGTCGAGGCGGCCCCCTTGAGCCGATACTGTATCCCCCCAGCGTTGCCCCTGATTGGAGGCCTAGAAATGGGCACCACCACCAACACAGGGGGCTGCCTCCACATGGGGAAGATGATACTGGATTTCGGTGTTGGTGGAAGCACACCGCCGATATTGGTGTAGCCCCAAACCGTGGATCCGTGATCGTGCAGAGGACCGGTAACGCGCCCCAGAGGCCGAAGTCGAGGGAGACGCCCAGGCTGACAAAATCATGTCGTCAAAGATCTGGGTTTTCAAATCAAAGCTCGAGCCTCTGGCTGTCCGGGACGATCCCAGCACCCCCAGGAGGCTCTCGGCGAGGCGCAGCTGCTGGAAAGCACCCCGAGGCTGAAAAACAGCAGAGTAATGACGAAGACGCCCGAAAACCTTGAACCTCGCCTCCTCCTCCTCCTCCTCCTCCTCCTCCTCCTCGTTCTCTTCCTCCGTCTCCTCCTCCTCCTCCTCCTCCTCCTCCTCCTCCTCGTTCTCCTCCTCCTCCTCCTCCTCCTTCTCCTCCTCCTCCTCCTCCTCTTCCTCTTCCTTTGGAGATCTGGGTCCCCAAACCCCGCCGTCAGGTTTTCCTCCCAACGCCGCCCCACAGAGGTCTCCTCTCAGTCCTCGGGACGAGATTTTCATCCCGATATGTTTGATGACGGTCCTGCAGGGCCCCCAGAGCTTGAAAATTGCAAACATCGTTCGTCGTGGAGTTTGTTCACGACGCGAGAGGGTGTGGGTCCTCCTTCTCCCTCTGGCCCCCTCCTCCTCCTCCTCCTCCGCCGCCTCCTCCTCCTCCTCCGCCTCCTCCTCCTCCTCCTCCTCCTCCTCCTCCTTGGAAGCCCCAAAATCTCCACGAGAGGCGCGGCGCCGCGCCACTCCCGCTCTGGGCTGCCGGGGACCTGCGCCGGCGCGGCCAGATGGATAGGGGTAGGCAAGAAGAAGGGAGGAGGAGGAGGAGGAGGAGGAGGAGGAGGAGGAGGAGAGGAGGAGGGAAGAGGAGAGGAGGAGGAGGAGGGGGAGGAGGAGGAGGAGGAGGAGGAGGAGGAGGAGGAGGAGGAGGAGTATGAGTATGAGTATGAGTATGAGTATGAACCATGTGACAGAGTCAACTTGAGGAGGAGGAGGAGCTGAAGGAGGAGGAGGAGGAGGTGGAGGAGGAGGAGGGGGAGGAGGGAGAAGGAGGAGGAGGAGGGAGGAGGCTGAAGACTGAAGACTACCACGAGGCGGCGGTGCCCGCCTCGCTCGCCGCACGGGCGCGTGGGTCGCCTGGCGCGCCAGGCCCCCGCGCGACGCCAGCCACAGAGGGGGATACGCAACCTCCCGAGTGGCCGCGGCGGCACGGGGAGGGGGCCGAGGCCCTTCCTTGAGGTTGCTGCCCAATGGCCCTCAGGCCTGAGCTGGCTCGACACTCAGGGGAGTGCTGAATCCGAGCCTTGGAGAGCTCGAGCATCTGCATCCAGACACCCTCCATTAACACTGCTCGCCGAGTCTAGGAAGTCGTTCAAGGTCTCGTGAGCGGCCGCGGTGCCCTGGAAGTCCTTGAAGAAGGCAGCCAGGGAGGACTTCTTGGCACCGTCCTTCGAGAGGCTCACCTGCGCTGGGCCTCGGGTGGCGGCTGACCTCTGCGCCACCTGCTTGCCCCGCGCTTTGCTCTTCTTCTTCATCCTGAAGCCGTTGAGCTCATCCCGCGTCTCGGCTCCATCGTCCATGATCTCAGAGCTCGCACCTGACACGTCCAGCAGCTTGCACACCAGCGAGACGCAAGGTGAGGCAAGCTCCCTTGACTTGGCTGAACAGCAAGTTGTGGCAGCCACGTTGGTGCCAGAGCTCTTCCCCGTGTAGCTCAGCGCCTTGAACCTGTTCGAGACCTTCACTGTGTACTCCAGGTCGGTCTGAAGGTCCCCCGAGCGCTGGACAGCGCCCTCCTCGCACCAAGCTTGGAGCTGCCCATCCTGTCCCTCCGACTTCGCCTCCTCGCCGCCGTAGGTAAGGTCAAACCACTCCACACGATTGCTGTGGCTCCGCACGGCCACCGCCTTCTCTGTCTTGTCGAACGCGGCCGCGTTCTCCTTGTAGATCTGCTCCCAGACGACCACCGCGGGAAAGCACGGGATGATCTCCAGCTGCTTCGCGACCTCGTACCCGCACCCGTCCAGCAAGTCGTCGTCTCTGGGCCTGCCCTCCTCGGAGTTGACCTCGTAGGTGTTCACGCTCAGTCGACCACCTGCGGCTCCGATGAGGAGCAGCTCCTTCGCCGCTTTCTGCTCTTCTTTTTCTTTTTGACACTGTTGTTCAGGTTCACGTTGTCCATCTTCACGATGTGGCCCAGGGCCGCTGGACGATCTCCCTGCCAATGGGACGGGGGCTTGACCGATTTCGGCGACAACTCCGCGATCATCGTCCACCTGCCTGGCGGCGGGGACGGTGGCGCCGCATTCGACTGCGACTCGAGGCAGCCGACCATGTCCTGGATCGCCAGCAGCTGGTCCTGCTCCTGAGGCGGTGCTTGCGATGGCCTCGGGCGCGGCACCGCGTGCTTCGCCTGAAGGGTCTTCTCCACCGCCGCCGACACCGCCGCCTTGACAACTGAGCTGACGACCCGCTCGATGGTGTCGCCAATCCCACAGTTGAGCTCCTTCACCATCTTCTTCCACCTCCACGGCGCTAGCAACGCCTCTGCGGAAGCCTTGCATGGCATGAACGTCGATCAGTGTCTAGACGTAGCTCAGCTCGGGCGGGCCTGCTGATCCCCATCGTGCGCCCGCCCAACCCGGCGCCGGCAGGGCCCCGCACGCGCAGCCGCGGCGCCCCCCTGCCCCGAGAGGAACAGCTTGAAGAGGGAGGAGGAGGAGGAGGAGGAGGAGGAGGAGGAGGAGGACCAGTGCAAACCCAAGGCGCATCAACTTCATTGCAATAGACCCTCCTTCCAAATTCCCCCTGCATGAGTCCCTGCAGGGATGTACTTTCAGTGCGGAGGGGACCCATTGAACGACAACCAAATCACCGTTCCGAGGATTTCAGCGCCGCGAATCCACGTGACTGTTACGTCCCGGCGGTCCTGAATCGTGCCAGAGCGCTCTCTGTCTGGGACTTCAAAGCCGCAAACTGACGTGACTTTGTGTTCTGGCAGTCCTTCCTCGTGACAGAGTACCACTCCTGGGACTTCCCAATCGGACAAGTCCTTCAAACTGCTGCAAACTTTTAAGTCGCATGTGCGCGGCGCTGGAGCGAGAGGCACATATTGAAAAGGAAGGGGAAGGAGGAGGAGGAGAAGGAGGAGGAGGATGAGGAAAAGAAGGAAGAGGAGGAGGAGGAGGAGGAAAAGAAGGAGGAGGAGAAGGAGGAGGAGGAGGAGGAGGAGGAGGAGGAGGAGAAGAAGGACGACGAGGAGGAGGACGAGGAGGAGGAAGACGACGACGAGAGTCGGTCAAGTCGCGATCGTTCTATTCCTCAAGCTCGCCGTCTCGTCCGCCAAGGACCGTCAAACATCGAACGGGGGGCAAAACCAGCCAGGATCCACCCTGGGCGGGGCCAGAGGGAAGAAGATCGAACACGTCGCGCCGGCGCTTCTGTAGGCAGGCAAGTATGCCTCGCCAGTGGTTGATACGTAGGGAATCAGTTTACGCAGCTGGTTTTAGGTCGGCATGTCCCCCTACAGGCGGACTTTGGAGGACAACATTAAAGTATTCAAAGACTGCTCAAAAATTGCAAAAAGGGCGAAACATCGTCCCCAGACTATCTTGAACTATTTTTGGAGATTCCTCTGTAGAGGGACAGGCCCGACTTAAAGCTGGTTTCGCCAGCGTCTCCCAACGCCAACTGTGTCAAAGAAGGCGCTCGGCGGCGGGGCTGGAAGCCGGCCGCGCACGGCAGATCTCGCGTACCCCCCCTCTGGTGTCCAATCCCCCCGCTGTCGTTCGACCCGACTCTGGGGTTAGGTCGGGCATGTCCCTGTACAGGTGAAATATTCAAACACAGTTTTAAAACTACTCTGGGAACGATGCTTTGATCATTGCTTGACTATTTCGGCGTATTGTTAAATCTTTCTCATTTTTCGCCCAAGCTCCGCCTGTATAGGGGGACCTGCCCGACCTGACTCCCCAGAGCCCCGACGTCATGAATTTGTCATGACGTCGACCCCCAGCTTTCTGGACCCTTTCCCCGGGACCGGTTCTTCGTCCTGAGTCGTTTTTTGACGGTCCCGAGGGCCGGTAAGGGCTCCCAAAGGCCAAAAATAATGAAAAACCTCCCGTCGTGATTTTTTCATAACTCGAGGGGGTCTGGGTCTGGGGGCCGCTGCGGCCGCCGGGGCCGTCAGGCAGACCTCCTGGATGGCATATGCCGGCCAGGAGATGTGTGTCCGCCGGCAGGTCGTGCGACCCATCGGTGGAGCGAGAGCCTCGGTCGGCGGAGAGGGAGCGGGGGTCGAGGAACGAGGATCTGGTTTCCCTGAGATCCGACGCTCCAAAAAAATTGCAGCGGGCGATTGTTGGCCGATTTCGGTCTCTGTGGGGCTCCCGGCGGGCTTCGGGGAGCGCCAAGAAAAACGACTCGGGAGGAAACACCAGCCCTGGAGAAGCGGCCCGGGCCTCTGGGGTCCACGCACCAAAACACTGGAAGCGGCTGGATGTCTGGGGTTCTGTGCGTTTTCAGCTCTCTTTTGGGCCACCAGGGAGCTACAGGGGCCTTCGACGGAGGAGGGGGAGGATCGCGGATCGTTCATCAGGCTTCTCGGACCACGGGCCGAGGACCACGGATCGGGGCTCTTGGGGCGACTCTGGGCCACACTGTCGGACCTCGGAAGGCGGCGAGGGCGAAGAGAGCGACGAGAAACGACGACGACGACGACGACGACGCTGAGGATGACGAACAGCGACCGAGGGCAACGGCTGCGGCCGAGGGCGACCGAGGGCGGCGGATGGCGACGAGGAAGACAAGAAATTAACTCACGAGCGGCGAACGCATCCGTGTCCACGCCCTCGCAGTCTGGGTGGACACGCGGTCGCATGAAGGAGGAGGAGGAGGCGGAGGAGGAGTAAGAGTAGGAGTAGAACTAGGAGGAGTAGCAGGAGGAGGGGCAGGAGGAGGAGGAGGAAGAAGAAGAGGAGGAGGAGCGGTAGGAGGAGAAGGAAGAGGTGGAGGAGGAGGAGGAGGAGGAGGAGGAGGAGAGGAGGAGGAGGAGAAGGACGAGGAGGACGAGGAGGAGGAGGAGGAGGGAGGAGGAGAAGAGAGGGAGGAGGAGGAGGAGGAGGAGGAGGAGGAGGAGGATGAGGAGGAGGAGGAGGAGGAGGAGGAGGAGGAGGAGGAGGGGGAGGAGGAGGAGGAAGGAGGAGGAGCGAGGAGGGGGAGGAGGAGGAGGAGGAGGGAGAGGAGGGGGAGGAGGAGGAGGAGGAGGAGGACGAGGACACGATCCGCCCGGGGCATCGGCGGCAAGAGATGGCCGGCATCCACGGGGCCGTGGCCCAGTGTGGCCGTGGGTCCCACGAGCGGGGGCGAGGGCGACAAGGGCACATGGCCCCCGGGAGGAGGCGCCGCCGCAGGGGTTGACCTCGGTACCTGCACCCGTTGGGGGGGCCTCCTCCTCCTGCTCCTCCGCCTCCTCCTCCTCCTCCTCCTCCTCCTCCTCCTCCTCCTCCTCCTCTCTCTCCTCTCCTTCTCCTCCTCCTCTCCTCTCCTCTCCTCTCCTCTCCTCTCCCTCCTCCTCCTCCTCCTCCTTCACCTACTCCTATTCCTTCTCCTCCTCCTCCTTCTCCTCCCCCTCCTCCTCCGCTTCCCCCTCCTCCTCACCGCCCATGCGGCGGCGCCAGGCTGAGGGGCCTCTGTGGCACCAAAAGGCGCTCCGACCGAGGCGCGCGCGGGGAGGCCGAGAGCAACCTTTGCCAAGGGAGGAAGAGGAGGCGATGAAAAATAAATGGCAAAGAAGGGGATGAGGGATGAGAGAAATGGGACGACGATGAAAGAGGAGGAAGAGGAACACTTCGAGGTGGAGGAGCCGGAGGGGGAAAGGGATGGAGAGCACGATGGAGAGGACGAAGATTATAGGTTAGATGGGGACGAGAGAATTGGAAAGGAGAGGGGAAGGAGCAGGATGATGATGAGGAGGAGAAGGAGGAGGAGGAGGAGGAGGAGGAGGAGGGGAGACAAGGGAGGCGAATTGTGGGAGGGGGGGAGGAGGGAGGGGACCCGCGAGAGATCCGAAGGGAGGCGCGCAGGACGGAAGAAGGACGCGAGGAGTGTGGGCCTTCGCGGGACTCGGCCGCCCCCGCGCCCACGCACGCGCCGCGGGCGCACTCCGCGGAGAGTCCGAGGAGGGGGCGCTCTTCACTCACACGCGGGTCAGCAGCAGTGACCCGTCCTGCCCGCCGGTGACGAGGTGCCAGTCCTGGGGTGAGAAACACGAGCAGCATATCAGTGACACGCCGACCACCGCGGGGTCGGCGTGCTTCTGTCGAAGGAAAGCCAGGTCTTCGGACGACAACGAAGGGGTTAAACACGCTGACGAGCTCCCGACGGCGCCGAGTCCGGGGAACTGTTTTTTCCCCCCCGAAGGTCCGAGAGGAGCCCAGCGCAGGCCAGCACTTGGGACTTGCCCAACACCCCGCCCATGCCCATGCCCCGGCTGCTGTGCAGCTGCCTCCAGGACTCCAGGCACTCCATGTCCTCCAGGTTCCAGATCTTCATCTCGGACATCGTGCTGAGGGTGGCCAGACGCCCAGACGCCTCCAGGACGAAGCAGTAGCGGATGGCCGCCTTGTGCGCGGCGATCCTGTGCGACACGCGCTGCTGGCGCAGGTCGAACACGCGGAGCTCCCCGGCCTTCGTGCCGCAGAGGATGGAGCGCCGCCCCGCTGCCCAGGCCAGGCAGGTGTACTCTGGGGGCATCGCCGACGCGGCGTCGGCGCCCGCATCGTGGGCCACCAGCGAGGAGCCCGGGGGCGCCAGCGTGTCCCAAACGCAGAGCCCCGCGGCTGCGTGCGGGCTGACCCCGCCGTCGGGGTCCCCGCGGCGGCCGCCCGTCGCCACGACGCTGGCGGCGGAGACGAAGGCGCCCGTCACCGCCCTGGTGCGCGCGGTGTCCGTCGGCACCGCCACCACCGACGGCGCCGCGCGGCCCTCGCCCACCGCCCACAGGGACACGCCCGTCCTGCTGCCCACCCCGAGGAGCCGGTCGCCCGCCGCGTTCCACTCGAGGTGGCAGCTCTTCTGCTCCAGCGCCTCGGCGGCCGGCGCCGCCGCGCCCCCGCCGTCGGCCGCAGAGGCCTGCGCGGCGGGAGAGGCTTGCGCGGGAGCCGCGGACGGGGCGCCGCCGCCGCCGGCGTGCCGGCGGTCCTCCTCGGCGGCGCGCGGCAGGGCGCACCTCTCGGGCGGGCGGCGATAGGACGCGCAGGCGCGGAGCAAAGCTCCCCACCCAGGGAGTGCCCTGGGGCGTGCTCCGACCAGCATCGCGAGGTCGATGCGGCCTGTGGCGACGAGGCAACAGAAACAGAGACGGCGAGACCCGACATGGCCAAAAAAATTGCAGCATGGCGGACATGAGCGACCAGAGCCATAGACCCCATCTTTCTCCTGCACTCTCCGAGCCGGACCGATCTGTGATGTATCTCCTGGGGCCCGAAACGAGGCACACATCACCCGCTGTTGAACAACAAGTGCGACGCCGGGATCCCGGGATCCCGGGGCGGATCCTCGATCCATGGCCTCCGACCTTGGGCCGGGCTCGCCGAAGGCCCACAGCTGCACGGAGCCGTCCTCCGCGGCCACCGCGTAGAGCGGGCGCGACGGGTGCGGCGCGGCGCTGAGCAGACCCGCGCCCCGCACCGGGAAGGCCGCGTGTGGGCTCGGCGGCCGCCGGTCCGCGGCGCCCCCGGCGAGCGGCCCAGGGCCCCGCACGGTGGACAGGAAGCGGGCCACGTCGTCGCCCTGGAAGTGGCCCTCGCCCAGGGCGAGCTCGCCGCCGGCCGCCGCCGCCGCCCGCCCCCCGGCGCGGCCGAGCAGGAGCTCGGCGCACGGGTCCAGCGTTGGGGCGCCAGAGGGCAGCACGCCCGCCAGGCCCACCTTCAGGCAGCACTGGAGATAGGGCTCCACCTGAGCGGCGAGACAGGGAGGGGGGGGTTCTTGCGCAAGGCAGCACGGCAGCGTGGCACGCTGCATTGGGAACGAGGGCGCTTACGCGCGACCTTACGTGGGGAGCTTACGCCAACGTCGGCGCAGTCGACCCGGACCACTCGGCGCCCCGACGTCATGATTTTGTTACAACGTCGACAGCCAGAGGTCTCGACCCCTTCCCCAATATCGGCTTTTCATCCTGAGTCGTCTTGTTGACGGTCCCGAAGGCCGGTAAGGGCCCCCGGAGGCCGAAAACGAAAAAATCCAGCTGTCTCGACCCATTCCCAGGGACCGGCTGTTCATCCCGAGTTGTTTTTTGACGGTCTCGAGGGCCAGAAAGGCCCCCAGAGGCCGACAATTGTACAATTGTGAAACACTCCCCGCCGCTAGTTTTTCAGAACTCGAGGGTCTGTATGGACCCCGTATTCTTCCGCCGCTCACCTGCGAGTCGTAGCACCTCTAAAGGCCTCCTAGATGGGGTCGGGGTGGATGGGGTCGGAGGATCGCGCCGCATCGCCGGTGCATCGGCGATGCATCGCCGACGTGGCGCGATCCTCCCACCCCATCCCCAGACACCCGGCGTCTTGATTTTTTCGAGACACGGGCCCCCGACCTCTCGACCATTTTCCCGGGACCGGCTTTTCATCCCGAGTCGTTTTCTGACGGTCCCGAGGCCCGGTAGAGGCCCCGAGAGGCCGAAGACTGGGAAAAATCCCCGTCTCGATTTTTTTGAGACGCCCGATGTCTGTCTGGGCCTACTCCGACCCCATCTGGGAGGCCCAGCACCCCCGGGGGTCGTCGGCCGAGGCGGCGGCGGGCGCCCGCTCCTCGTCGCCCCGCGCTGGGCGCGCGGCCACGCCAGACCACCGGGCGGCGTGCCCGGCGTGCAGCTCCCACGTGGTGCCGCGGGCGTGAACCGCCAGGCGCGGCCAGGGCGCGCTC